CCGCGAGGAGCGGGACCCAGTAGCCATGAAACAAAAAAAAAACCAAGGGCAATTCTGCCATTAAAAAAAAACAACCAAAACGGACATATAATGTTAGGGGTTAATAATGAGTGAATGATATGAGGTTTTAAGGGGAAGTTTGCGCCGTGGCTCATTCGTCGTCCGAGTCGCGTGCGAGTCGCCCGTCATCCGCGGCTACCACAAGTTTTAAATCTTTAACATGGTGGAGTCCCGCGACTCTCCCTTCCTCATCTAATAACTCGTAAACGAAATCGGAGTTAATGTCTTTTATTCGATATAGTTTAGTGCTCCATTTACGCGCTAGTAGCGACGTAAAGCCCTTCGGCTCCGAGGATAATGTTCGGATTTTACACCTAACTAAATCGCCTTCTGCAAATCTTACGTCACGATGATGATGATTGTAATAACGAGCTTGTTGCTCAAAAGATTTATCTAGGTTGTCGGTAATTAAATCATAAACTTGCGTCATGCGTTCCATACGTTTTGTCCATCTGGCCTTGTTCGGTACCGCTATTTCTTCGTCAAGTGCCTTCATTTTCCGAAAAAATAAACTATCGCGGGGCTGACGACCGAAATTCAAGAATGCGGGCGAGACATGGAGTGAACTATGGAGCGCGGTATTATATGCTGACCGAAATTCGTGCAAGTGTGAATCCCATTCTCGATGGTCCTGTTCAATGAAACAGATAATCATCGTCTTGAGGACGCGGTTTACGCATTCCACTGGGTTGGCTTGCGCGTGGTACGGCGGAGTGGCTGTATGTCGGATATCAAAAGATCTCGCCATCTCCTGCATTAATTTATTTTTGAATTCCGTACCATTATTTGTAAGGATCACTCTAGGTGTTCCCCAGCGGAATATTATCAGGCTTTCGAATTCGGCGATGATAGATTTACCATCTGCCTTTTTCAATGGGGCCACCTCCACCCACTTAGTGAACAGATCTTGAAAAACTAAGAGGTAATAATAACCTAATCTGCTCGGAAGGAAAGGGCCCATGATATCCGCGGCAACTACTGTCCACGGCTCATGAAAAACGCGTTGTCCCATCAAACCCGCAGGTTGTAACTGTGAGACTTTACACGTCTGACAAACTTCACATGATGTGACGTATTTGGCTACGTCTCCCGACATTCCTGGCTAATAATACGCGAGGGCTACTCGAGCTTGCGTCTTTTCAATTCCCAAATGGGCTAAACGCGGTAGGTCAAGAGATTCAGAAATAATATCTATTCGTGACGACGTTGGGGGAACGAGCTTCCACGTATCAAAGTCCTCCGCAACCGTTGAAACCAGGGGGTTTGGTCGGTATCGAAACAGTTGATCGTTCTCCACCTTCCACCCCTTGAACTTAGCTGATTCTCGGATTACAGACGCCTTTCTGCGTGAATACCACTCATCTTTCACCTCTGCCGCACTATCACTTCCAATTTCCGTCGACAAGTCGGGGTTTTCAACAGCGTTAACCTCATTTTCATTGGCCTCGGTACACTCGTCCTCGTACATTCGCGATAATGCGTCTGGAACGTCATGGAGCTTGCCAGGTCGATGAACTAAATTATAATCGTACTCTTGTAACGCTAGTGCCCACCTTCCTAACCAGCCGGCCGGGTCTTTCAAATTATGGAGCCACTGTAATGAGCTGTGGTCGGTAATAATCGTGAAGTGATATCCTTCAATGTACCGTCTAAAATGATCAATAGCCCACACGACCGCGAGACACTCTTTTTGTGTGACTGAATAATTTCGCTCAAGCTTAGTTAATGTCCTACTTGCGAACGCGATCACATATTCGACTCCATCAATTGTTTGTGTGAGGACGGCTCCAAGACCGTAAGCACTTGCATCGGTTTGAATCGTGAATGGTACCGAAAAATCAGGGCAGGATAATACTGGTGCAGTCGACAGAGCGGCTTTAATACGGGTGAATAAAGTCGATTGTTCATCCCCCCAATTCCACTTAGTATTTTTGCGCAAGAGGCGCGTAATAGGCTCGGCCATCGCGGCAAAGTCGGGAATAAAACGCCGATACCATGATGACATACCGAGGAAACGTCGAATTTGACGTATGGTACGTGGTTCCGGATAATTTAAGACTGGTTCGACCTTCGAAGAATCGAGATGAAGCCCAGTTTCATCCACGATAAACCCCAAATATTGGACGCGGTTACTACAACACACGCTTTTTTCCAAATTTATTTCGAGGTTTGCATCGCGCAGCCTCGTGAGAACTAATTCCAAATACTTGAGATGGTCTTCAAACGTCTGAGTGACGACAATGATGTGGTCTAAGTACGCAAATGCGAAGGGCTCAAGCTCAGGACCGATAATCCTATCTGCGAGACGTTGAAACGTCGCGGGTGCATTCGTTAAACCGAATGGCATCCCTACAAATTCGAACGTGCCCAGACCGGAAACAGAAAACGCAGTTAATTCGCGGATTTCTGGATCCAGAGGCACTTGGTGATAGGCCTGTTTGAGATCTAATGTGGTGATATAACGCGCGGAGCGCAGCTTGTCCAAAATTCCGACCAAATTCGGGATGGGATACATGTCCTTTTTCGTTAATTTATTCAACCACCGGAAATCAAGACATAATCGCCATTTCCCGTGAGACTTTTTCACCATGACGATGGATTATTCCAGGCACTCTCTCGACTCCGCGGTATGACTCGAAATCGCTGCGAAACTTTCCTCCTCATGTGACGTTGCGGGTGCACCTGCAACCTCCTTTTCCCTAGATTCGCGTTTTATCGTGGAATTAGTTTCCGAATCGGTGATCAGCCGCTCGGAATTCTCGCGATACAAACGTTCATACGTAGGTGGAAATTCAGTCTCGTCATTATCGAGTATTACTGCGGTACCGTGGTTCAGTTTACGACTCGAACTTGGATTTTTACTCTTAGACAATGATTTAGAGTTGGGAATCCCGTCAGACTACGTGATGTCCCGACTTGAATAATTGAAACGCGCACCTCGATTCTTAGTTTTGGAAGAAAGCCGCGTTCCACGGTTATTATGAACCGTGATAGTCGAAAAATCCGTCTCGTTCTCAGAAATCTTTCTCCTGGGACATAGCCAAAGTCGGTTTAGGGGATTGACGGTCTGAAACACGCGGTTTAGGAGTAGGTTGGGTCCTTGAAACCTTGGGAGACAGCGCGGGACCCTTTATTGCTGCGCTCCCTTTGCGGTTTCCCCTGCCGTTTGTTTTGGTGGGTGATTTTTACAATCGGGTAATTTGACACCCCTTGTCCCACACACATAGCAAAATATTTCGGTCTGCGGCTGCTTACAGTACGCGCCTTTGTGACCGTTCTTCAGGCAATTATGGCAGAAATCCGTCGACTTAGATGATGTCGACGTCGTTGGTGGTGTGCCAGCCTGAGGAGTTTTAGCTGGGGACGTCCGTCCGCCAGCTGAAAAATTAATTTTGGGCTTTGCAGCTTTTGTCGCTGCTGAGTAGGACCGTGCTGGTGAAGCAGGAGGCTGAATCGTGGCAGCTTGAGTAGCAGCAAGGGCTTTTTGAGTGGAAGGCCTCCGAGACTGACTTTTCTGCTCGGATTTGTTCGCATCTGAATTTACTTTTGCGGGCTTCTTAGGCCCGGTTGCCCCACTGACCTCATTGATCTGTTTCACAACCGCTTTACCCCCTTTTTCGCGTAGCGCGATGGAACATACGCGCAATGCAGGTAAATGGTCTCATGCGTGTCTGGAGGAGGTTTTAGCGGAGTGCGACTGTGCCTCCAGTCGAAATCTAGCACGAGATTTTCCAGTTCGTCAAAAGTCGTGAAATCATTGCGGTGAATCATCGGATGATACTCCGGCCGTAAATGGTTGTACGCGATGTCAAGACGGGCTGCTTCCGAGAAATTTGTATTATTCGATAAGCGCCACATTAAACGAACTGCGTCCAAATAATCTGCCCCGCGTTCGAGAGGCCCCTGCGTCCTGTTCACGATGTCGACAATAGCTCGACAACGCGTATCAAATTTTAAAATGGTTCTAATCCCAAATTCCTTAGTCCCAGAAAACTGGGACTTGCGCCTCGCGGTTGGTGGATGTGATCCGCGTTGAGCGGCGCAGGAGCCAACATAATCCGATGCTCCCTCAATGTTGTAGCATCGGTTTTTTACTGGACGGCCTTGTGCCGCCGATCCATCGGTGAGGTGGTGGGGGTTCGCACGTAGAGGCCTGAGATGCCTGCTGGCGTGCGACGATCGTCTTTCGCGTCCTACGTGATGTGAGTCTCCCAGACTCGGTGTGTGCGTGCTCGTCGGTGTGCTGCTCCTCAGCTATAGCGCCGTCTTATAGCCCTTCCCGATGCTCCGCTCCACTCCCTTCGCCAGGAAGCTCACGTAACCCACGGTGAGCGCGATCGACAGACTTCGAGAGAATGATGAAAAGGAAGTAAATAATAGAAATAAAAAAAATAAAATGACAATTGTGGCTCTGGGTGATCCGACTCCTCGCTGAGGTAAAAATACTAATTTTCCCCTCATGATCCGCGGTCAGTTCAGGCGAGGAACAGTATAAGATTTTTATCATGTTACAATCTATAATATATCTATCATATATAATATCTATATTATATACTCGAATATAATATATCGCGTATGAAATATACTTGATTAATATTGAGTCTATATTCATGACAAAATTCATGACATTTGATTGATCCCTTACAAGGAAATTTCGAGAAAAAAATGAAGGAAAAAGGCTACATACATACACCATCTAAAAATCGCATATTCTGCCTTTTTAGATCATATTTAATAACGCTAACACAAAAAATGTGGAACTTAAATTTGAGCGATTACCAATCTTGCATTCGGAAGGAATAGAAGAAGAGAATTGTAAAATAAGAATTTCAAAAAAGAGAAGTCATTCGGAAGCAAATTGATAATTTATTAGCAACAACCACTATAGTCATTTATAAAAAAATTTCATTGTCCACTTGTTTTTTTTTAATTTCTCGCAGGAACTTATGCATTTGTGAACTCGTCAAGAGGCAATGGACTTGGAGATCGTGCTACATTGAATAGTCCCATATTCAACCCTACTCCGCCATACAGCAGTGATCCGAAGAGTCCATATTATCAATCCTGTCAGATGCGATTTTTCTTCCATCAGTATGGCGCCTTTAGTGGTTCACTGGGATTATATCTCATTCAAATGAAACCACATCAGAATCAATCCCAGAGACTATGGTGGAGTTACGGAGATCGCAGTGACATTTGGTATAATCATGTCGTCGCACTACCGAATATAAGATACAAGTACGTAATTTTTGTGATTCAATGAAGATCCATGTCAAAGTGATAGAATGAGTCGGTTCAATTACGTTGTGTATCAAGCAAACTATTATCGCGGCAAACATACTATTTTTTGTCATAACTGGATGGTAACGTCTGATTTTGCTTCATAAGTGGAGAGAGGAACGGAGATTACGTCTGTCCAAGGATACTCGAAAACAACAGAAATCCGAAGAATAAAATCAACCACTTTCTTCATTTGGGGAAGAAAGTGGCTTATTTCATTTCTCAGATTTTTCTTTGTTTCGATGATCCTCGAAGTAATCAAATCCCTGTTTCTCCCTGCATTTACAAAAAAATCGAACATTACCGTACAGTTATGACAAAAAATAGTATGTGTACTTAAGAAGGAAAACCAGGCATAAAAACCGACCCCGAGTGTAAATTCCGTTCAGGCCACCTAAAGTTGGATCAGAATAAATCCTTCTGTAGTCAGGTTCCACTGATCAGGTGAAATCTGATCAAAACCTGGTGAGAAATGATCCAGTGTTTCTGAGGTCAAGCTGCCTGAAAACACTTTGACAAAATTCGGATTTGGTCACCCCGATATCAATTTAAGCACGGCATCCTGAAATAAACAATAGTAGATTGGGATTTGATCACCCTAATCTCAATCCGAGCAGGGGACTAGCCGCTTCAAGGGTCAGACATATTGAGTATCAAATCTAGCAAAGATTAGGCCCCTTAAGGTTCACAAGATTAAACTATTTAAAGGTCCGAAGTATTAAGGGTCAAATATTTCAAGGGTCAGAAGTGTCAAGGGACGGACGTCGATAGGGTCAGACATTTAAAGGGTCAAGCGTCAAGGGACTAACATATAAAAACTCAAATATCTTGTTTGAAAGGTCAGGCACTATAAGGATCAGACGTTTCAAAGAAAAAATGATTTAATGAGTTTTGTTTGAAGAAAGTAAAATATGACATTCATTTGTCATTCATATAAGATATTTAGAATGACAGTTGGATTATCTATTAATTTCCCTAGCATTTTTCTAGATATCCGTTTTAAGTCATGGGCTCGCATTCAAGTTTTTCTCTTTAGCAAGAAAGTGTGTTATCATGTACTGGATAGTTTTATGCTAATTTGAAAAATTGCCATATGGACTCATGTATATAACTAGCCCATGTGTCATATAGCTCATATTTCATAACTTGTCAACGAAACCTAGAAAAATTGTTATTCAAACATTAGCTGATAACTACGATGGACATTCTGTATAAATTTCATTTTAATGTCATTATATTTTTTTTTACAGGGAAAACCCCTTAAAGGTCAGACGTGTCAAGCATCAAATGCCTTAAATGTCAGATTTTGCAGTATTAAAATTGTAGTGGTTGACGCATAGGTTTAGAAATCGTAGGATCGTCGGTTTGAAACCAGTCGAGGACAGAATAATTTCCGATAGCAAAATCGTCTTTCTCTGCGATAAATGAAATCAATGCATTGCGAGGTACCCAATATGATTACAAATGATCATGAAAATCATTTTTGAAAATTTAATTATCTATTTTTTGTTAAGAAATATTAGTAGTAAAACTTGACGCGTTCCTCGAGTCTCGATCCATGGATTTTGATCAGGGTTCGGTCCGCCAGGTCTGATCAAATTTGGATCTAAAGTAGCATTACACCTTTGATCATGACGTGATCAATTCACATTATCACAATCTGATCTGATGTCAGGGCTGACCTGAACAAATCCTGATCTACACCTGGCCAAAATTTCCACTCAGGCGCGTGCTGATCACCCTCGAAGGCGAGAAAATTTTCATTTGAAAGGTCTATAAAACTTTAAATCAAGAGCAGAAATTGAGAATGGAAGGGGAGAATACTAACCTAATATTATAAACTAATTGGAGCAGGGGAAAAATATGGAGTGAAGAAGTGGTGAAACGGACTCTCTTCAATTGTCCATATCTCCCGACTGAATACCGTAATTTGAATAAATCAGATTTTATTTTGGAGTTTGAAAAAACCTTTGAAAATTATGTGAAAAATTTGACTATGCTATTTTCGGTTGATTGATATGCAGATTTGGTCCGTTTTACCCCACTATCTATAGATTTTCATCATTCAGAAAGAAACAAGATGCTAATTGAAAATTATGAAAAAATATGTGAATAAATAAACAAGTCAGCCTCCAAATCAATCAAACAGAACATATGTTCAGCAAACAGTTAAACAAATAAGTCAATAAATAAGAAATATGGAATTTGAATATTTTCTTTAATCAGGAATAGATGAGCCTGAAACTGGCGAACGATATCCACAACTTTGGGAGCGGACTGTACTGCCGACGCTCCAAAGGGACCGCCGGGAGTCAACTTTTTCATCCCTAATTTTTAAAAATAATTAAGGAACATGACAAAATATGTTTAACACACCCTTACCCCTCCATATGCATACATTATTTGAATGAAAAATAAAATTGCTAAATTTAAATAACCAATTTTAACATTGGGACATAAAGAGGGGGTAGAGGGGGGATGGATAATAGGAGGGAGTTAAAAATTTTACCCAACAAGGGGGAGGTTGCAGAGTCTATCTAAGCCACCCCCATCCCTCCGTTCGCATGCGTTAATTAAATGAAAAAATTGAATTTTCAAATAAAAAAGAAAATCGCGAAAATTCGGACTTTGAGAGGGAGTGGATGGGGGATGCATAATAGGGGAGGGTTGAAAATTTTAACCGACAAGGGGAGGGGGTTCCAGAATCTATGAGAACCACCCCCATCCCTCCGTTCGTATACGTTAATTAAATAAAAAAATGTAATTGGTAAATTAAAAAAAAAATCATCGAAAATTGGGACTTCGAGAGGGGGTGGAGGGGGATGCATAATGGGGGAAGGTTGAAAATTTTACCCAACAGGCCGAGGGGGTTGCAGAATCTATCTGAGCTACCCTCATCCCTCCGTTCGCATGCGTTAATTAAATAAAAAAAATAAAATTGTTAAATTTAAATAACCATTTTGAGTATTTGGACTTTGTAAGGGGGTGGAGAGAGGACGCACAATAGGAGAGGGTTTAAAATTTTACCCAACAGGGAGAGAGAGTTCCAGAATCCATCTGAGCTACCCCCATCCCTCCGTTCGCATGTGTTAATTAAATAAAAAAATTAAATTGTTAAATTCAAATAACAATTTTAAGTATTTGGACTTTGTGAGGGGGTGGAGGGGGGACGCACAATAAGGGAGGATTGACGATTTTACCCAACAAGGGGAGGGGGTGGAGAAGGATGCATAATAAGGCAGGGTTGAAAATTGTACTCAATAAGGGGAGGGAGATACAGAGTCTGTTTGAGCCACCCCCAGCCCTCTGTTTGCACGCGTTAAATCAATAAAAAAATAAAAGAGTTGAATTTAAATAAACATTTTGAGTATTTGGATTTCGCGAGAAGGTGGAGGGGGGACGCACAATAGGGGAGGGTTGAAAATTTTACCCAAGAAAGGGAGGGGGTTGCAGAGTCTATCTGAGTCGACCCCAGCCCTCCGTTCGCATTCGTTAATGAAATAAAAAAATGAAATTGTTAAATAAAAACAAGACATCTCGAAAATTGAGACTTCGAGAGAGGGTGGAGGGGGGAAACGTCCTCCCGAAACCTCCTCCCCTTATCGGTTAAGATTTTCAACCCTCCCCTATTATGCACCTCCTGCCCCCCCCTGTGAAATCATAATTTTCGAGACTTGCTGTTTTTATTTAACAATCAATTTTTTTTATTCAATTGACACATGCAGAGGGATGGGGAAGGCTGAGATAGACTCTGCAACCTCCCCCCTTGTTGGGTAAAATTTTCAACCCTCCCCTATTGTGCGTCTCCCCTCCGCCCACTCACAACGCCCAAATTCTTAAAATTTTTATTTAAATTTAACAATTTTATTTTTTTATTTAATTAGCTCATGCGAACGGAGGGATGAAGGTGGCTCAGATAGATTCTGAAACCCCCTCCTCTTATCGGATAAAATTTTCAACTCTCCCCCATTATGCATCCCCCTGCCGCCCCCCTATGAAATCATAATTTTCGAGATTTCTTGTTTTCATTTAACAATTTTATTTTTTTATTTAATTGACGCATGCGAACGGAGGGATGGGGGTGGCTCAGATAGACTCTGCAACTCCCCCCCTTGTTGGGTGAAATTTTCAACCCTCCCCTATTCTGTGTCCCCACCTCCACCCCCTCCCCAACGTCCAAATTCTGAAAACTTTTATTTAAATCTAACAATTTTATTTTTTTATTTAATTAGTGCATGCGAACGGAGGGATGGAGGTGGCTCAGATAGATTCTGAAACCCCCTCCCCTTGTCGGCTAAAATTTTCAACTCTTCCCCATTATGCATCCCCCTGCCACCCCCCTGTGAAATTACAATTTTTAAGATTTCTTGTTTTTATTTCACAATTTTATTTTATTATTTAATTGACGCATGCGAACGGAGGGTTAGGGGGGAGGGGCTCAGATTGACCCTGCAACCCCTTTCCCTTGTTGGGTAAAATTTTCAACCCTCCCCTATTATGTATCCCCCCTCCACCCCCTCTCGAAGGCCCAATTTTCGAGATTTCTTTTTTTTAATTAAGAATTTAATTTTTTTATTCCATTAATGCATGCGAACGGAGGGCTGGGGGTAGTTCAGATAGACTTTGCAACGCCCTCCCCTTATCGGATAAAATTTTCAACCCTCCAATATTATGCAACTCCCCTCCGCCCCCTCTCGAACTTCCAATTTTCGAGATTTCTTTTTTTATTCAATTATTCAATTTTTTTATTTATTTAATGCATGCAAACGGAGGTCTGGGGATGGCGCAGATAGACTCTGCAACATCCTTCCCTTATTGAGTAAAATTTTCAGCCCTCGGCTATTATGCATCCCCCCTCAACCTCCTCTCGAACTCCGAATTTTCGAGATTCTTTTTTATGTGACAATTTTATTTTTTTATTCAGTTAACGCATGCGAACGGAGGGATGGGGGTGGCTC